GGTTAGGCCGGCGCTGGCAGCGGCCTTGCAGGTGGGAGGGGAGGCCGCTCGTCCAGGCCTGCGGAGGCCCTGGCGTTCTGCTCCGAGGCCGGCAGGGAGCCGAGAGCCCACGCCTGGCCCCTAAGGAGCCGCCGGACGGAGCGGCTGCCCACGGCCGGCCCAGGGCGGTGTCTTCGGGGCAGAGGGGTTGCCCAGGTCGCCAGCACAGGGAGCCCTTAACTTGGGCTTTGGAAACCGCGGGGCCTCGGGCCCGTGAACCCCGTAAAGTCACACGGAGAGGGTGGGGGACAGGCTGTGAGCCCCGAAGGCAGGAGCCCTCCTGGGAGAGGGGCTGGGCCTTGCCCGGGGCAGCTGCTTCTGCAGCTGTGGCTGGCCCGGCAGCGGGCGCCCCGCCCCGAGGCCGAGGGCACGGATGAGGCCCGGGCGGTGCGGGCTGCGGCCCACCCCAGGGGCCCGTCTGGAAACGCTTCTCCCAGTTTTTTCTTGGCCTAAAAATTAGAGGACTACTTTGCAGTACTTTGCTTGGTGTTCTGCTCCTCATGATGTGCTGCTGGGAGCCCCGGGCCCGGTGACCCCTCGGATCTTACATTCCCCTACCGCGGGCCTGAGGAGGAGGAACCCACCTCCCCTACTGTTGGAAGTATGGAATTTCAAAATGAATCTTGGAAAGACTGAGTGCATTCATCAGAAAAAAAGAGTATGTGCTACTTTCACGAGACAAATTCAGTCCAGTTTTTAAAATATATACAAATATTTTTAAAAATACAAATACACTAATGTTCAGTTTTGCCAGGTCTGATGATGCACACCTGTCATCCCAGCGCTTGGGAGGCTGAGGCAGAGTGGTAAATTTGGGGCTGGGGTTTTACCTCAGCGGCACAGGGCCTGTCTGGCAAGCTCAGGGTCGTGAGTTCGATTCCTGGTACCAGAACAAAAACAAAAACCAAACAAAAAAAAAATCAGAGTGGTAAATTTGAGGCCAGCCTAGACTACATAGCAAGACCCTGTCTCAAAACAAAAAATGGGGGGCTGGGGATTTAGCTCAGCGGCAAAAGCGCCTGCCTGGCAAGCGCAAGGTCGTGAGTTCGGTTCCTGGTAGCGGAGAAAAACCAAAAAAAATCAAAAAAAAAAGGGTTTTAGGTAACTCTTAAAGGTAATAAAGTACCAATTAATACTACATGATATGCTAATATGATAAAGTGTTAGTAAATTTTATGTACCTTGAGTTACGCAAATCCGTCTGAATCTTGCTTTAAAGGCACTGACATTTGACTATTGCAGTTATGTTCTTAGAATGATGAAAGCTACAAAAAATCTGTTTCGACACTTTCTACACTAAATCGCGTAGCCTCCTGCTCCCCGGCAGAGAGAAGATGGCCGGGTTGCCTATGGTAACCGTGGGCTTCGATGACAAACGATCTCCAACCTCCCCAGCCTTTCACCAAAGCCCTCTGCCAAACATTTAAACCAAACTGCTCAAAAGATGGGCTTTTGAGGCAGCAACTTCGCCTTGTTGCTTCGCACACTGGGGCCGGCTGACAGGTGAGTTACCCAGAACTGCCCCCTCCTCAGGGTGGCTGGCTTTTCTGGCCTGGCTCATAACAGAGCCCTTGGGAGGCAGCACCCTGTGTTTTTGTTTTGTACCAAGAATCGAACTCAGGACCTTGAGCTTGCCAGGCAGGTGCTTGTGCCGCTGAGCTATATCCTAGTACCCTCTGGATTTCCGGGTTTTGGGGCGGGTGTCAGGGAGCTCCACATTGCCTTAGTTCTAAAAAGCTTAGATCGTCTAAGCCGAGAAGACGCATAGGAACAGTTGATGGAACTAGGGGTGAGGAAATCAGGTCCTGGCCCTGCCTCTGACCTGAACCCACAGCACGGCCCTGACTGAGGCTCAAACTCCCTGAGCCACCCCACTTCATCATCAAACAGCTGCCGTGTGCCACGCTCCTCCAGTTGGGGAAGTGAGGGTTAAGTGAGAGTGGGAAGGTCTGGGACAAAGTGCTGTACTGGGTACTACCAGCATGATTACTGACTGCCTAAGACCAGAGCAGTCACCCATTTGGTCAGTGTTTTAACCTCCACCTCATCCAGAATAAAATGAAAATCCTTTGCTTGGGGAAATGTAAATAAATACACCTGACACAACTTCAGAAGTGAAGAAAAGAGGGGCTGGGGATTTAGCTCAGCGGCACAGCGCCTGCCGGGCAAGCGCAAGGTCGTGAGTTTGATTCCTGGTACGGGAAAAAAAAAAAAGAAAAAAAAAAAGTGAAGAAAAGAAGCCCAGGTGCGAGGAGCTGTGACCCCTGCAGTCCAGGAGGCCGAGCCTGGAGACCTGCAAGTTGGAGCTTGGCCTGGGCATTTAGTGACTGGGTAGAACTGTGGTTTGAAAATTTAAAAAAAAAAAGGGTTGAAGATGTGGCCTAGTGTGGAGGCTTTGGATTCAAACCATTTATTTATGTATTTATTGGGTTTCTGTTTGTCTTTTTGAGACAGGGTCTCTCTATGCAGTTCAGGCTGCTCTTGAGCTCACTTTGTAGCCCAGGCTGGCCTTGAACTCACAATGATCCTGCCTCAGCCTCCCAAGTGCTGGGATTACAGGCATGTGCCACCATGCCCAGCTTTATTGGTTTTTTGAGACACGGTCTCACTATGTAGTTCAGGCTGGCCTCAAACTCACTGCCTCAACCTCCTGAGTGCTGGGACTACCGGCATGCATCATCACGCCTGGTATTAATCTTCAGGTTTAAAACAAAACAAAACAGGGCAAGGTGGCACAAGCCTGTAATCCCAGCTTCTTAGAAGCAGGAGGAGTTCAAGGCCCAAATGGGCAATTTAGCAAGACCTCGTCTCAAAGGACAGAGATAAAACTGGATGGCAGAGTGCTTGCCTACATGTGTGAGGGCCCTGGGTTCAACTCCTAGTACTGCACCAAAACACAAAAACAAAATCCACAACAAATAGTCTTCCTTCACAAAATCAGGGGCTAGGGCCGGGGACATAGCTCAGTGGTACAAGTGCCTGCCTGGCAAGCACAAGGTCCTGAGTTCGATTTCCGGTACCAAAAAAAAAAAAATCGGGCTGGCTATATCTAGTCAAACATTAGGTAACTCCACAGGAGTTGCCCCAGCTGCTTGCACCTCTGATATGGCAGCAAACCCTCCCAGCAGTGCAGTGGAAAGCTGGTCAGAGTTAAGAGTACTCGTACCTGTGCACCTAAGTGCAGGGGAGCTCGTGGGGACTTGGTTGTTTTCTTGGCGGGGGGGGGGGGCAACATTTTTCACATTTACACGGGTAAAATCATCAGAATTAAAGTTTTACTTTATGAGTGTGGTGGCACATTACTGTAATCCCAGCTACTCGGAAGGGTGAAGCAGGAGGGTTTAAAATTTGAGGCCAGCCTGGGCAACTTGTACCTTGCTGTAGAGAAAAAGGTATAGGAGGGGCTGGGGATTTAGCTCAGCGGCACAGCGCCTGCCTGGTAAGCGCAAGGTCGTGAGTTCAATTCCCGGTACTGGCAGAAAAAAAAAAGAGAAAAAGGTGTAGGGATGTAGTTTAGCACTCCCTGGGTTCAATCTCCAGGACTATCAGGGAAAAAATCCATTTGACTCTTCTTATGAAGTATAATGGTTGATCTTAGAAATATATAATTTTCTCATATATATACAGTAAAAGCTTGAGTTGTAACTTGTTCTGCGAGTATTCTGCGAGATGAGCCAACATTTCTAATAAAATTTAACTTGACGAACAAGCGATGTTTTGCAATACCAGTAGCACGGCACATGATCACAACTGAGCCAATGGCCAGCAGTCCCCCATCTCTCTTATCTCTGGCTGCAGAATTGTGGGTGATCATCTCCCAGCAGCAAGAAGTTATGGAGGAGATCTCATCTACAAAGGAGAAAGAGGCAGAGGAGTCCTTCACTTCAAATGAGATTAGGGAGATACGTAAAATGCGGGAAACTGCGAAATTTGTAGAAAAGCACCACCCAAGTAAGGCTGTGGCAGTGTGAGCGATGAGTCTGTTTAACAACACTGCAATGTCACATTTCCACAAAATCCTCAAAAGGAGGCAAAAGCGTCACTGGATAGGTTCCTTGTGAAAAATGCACAAAAGGAGTCCACTGAGACAATAGCAGCGATTCCGTTAATGATGGTGAAAGGCATCCTACACAATAACCCTTCTTCCTTGTCTCCGCCCATCAGCCACCAAACTTTTTTTTTTCTTTTTTGGGTAGAGACAGAGGTATCACTGTGTAGTTCAGTTGGCCTTGAACTTGTGTCAACCCTCCTACCTCAGCCTCCCCAGTGCTGCGATTACAGGCTCCCGCCACCATACCCTGCCTGGCCATGAAGGTTTTCTTTTCTTTTTTTTTTTTTTGATTTTAGTTTTTGTTTTTTTTTCCAGTACCAGGAATCGAACTCACAACCTTACGCTTGCCAGGCAGGCTCTGTGCAGCTGAGCTAAATCCCCAGCCCCTCTTTTTTTTTTTTTGAGACAGCATTTCACTCTGCAGTTCAGGCTGGCCTTGAGCTCACTTCGTAGCCCAGGTTGGTCTCGAACTCACAACAACCCTCCTGCCTCAGCCTCCTGAGTGCTGGGATTACAGGCGTGCGCCACCACGCCCGGCAATCCTGTCCACTGTAAGTGGTCTGCAGTGTAGCTCATGTAAAAGCCTTGAGTCTAGCCCACCCCACCCGTCAGATTCACACCCTGACCAAGGAGAACTTTGGAGCAGCGGTGTTGAGAGTCACACTCTGCAACCTGATCCAGGAGGCACAGTGAATCTCTGGCCAGTGTTTGCCAGCTGTTGTCTTGGACACTGGAAAGCTTAGCACTCACTGCTTGTGAGTGGAGTTTTAGACACAAATGCGGAGTTTTAGATAGAGCAGGAACTCACCTGTAGTCCCAGTGTTTGGGAGGCTGAGGCAGGAGGATTGCTGTGAGTTCAAAGCCAGCCTGGTCTACATAGTGAGTTCAAAGCCAGCCTGAACTACGACACCCTGTCTGAAAAAAAAAAAAAAAAAAAAAGGTTCCTGAAGGAAAAATGCAGGGCCGGGGATACAGCTCAGTGGCTAAGCGCTTGCATGGCAAGACTGAGGTCATGAGTTCCATTCCTGGTACCACCAAAAAAAGGAAAAAAGAAAAAAGCTATTGGCTTAAATCAACATATTTAGCCGGGCGTGGTGGCGCACTCCTGTAATCCCAGCACTCGGGAGGCTGAGGCAGGAGGATCACTGCGAGTTCGAGACCAGCCTGGGCTACAAAGTGAGCTCAAGGCCAGCCTGAACTGCATAGCGAGACCCTGTCTCAAAAGGCAAAAAAAAAAAAAAGAAAAATGCAGGGACTCCAGGTGCTCTGTACCTTAAAATCTGGGTACATGAGAAACCACTTTGAAGATATCAATATGTAATACAACAAGCACTGTTTAATTTCCTACCACTTGTTTGTAACTCTGTATTGCTAGTACTGTTCTTTTGCTATTTTGTAAAAGATTGTCTGTCTGTTGTTTTCCCCCTTTTATTTTTAAAATAAAAAAAAAATTCTGGGGAATGGCAGCAGCACCTGGTTTGCAGATATCTAAGTGAGATTTGTCCTAGCCTCTAGAGGAAACTGAATTCTGAAGCCTGCTTTACGCATGTTTTTGTTTTTTGTTTTTTTTTTTGAGACAGGGCCTCACTATGTAGCCCAGGATGGCCTTGAACTCAACTGCAGCCCAGGCTCATCTCCAACTTAAGACAATCCTCCTGCCTTAGCCTCCCAAGTACTGGGATGACAGGTGTGTGCCGCTGCGCCTGGCTTATATATGAAATTCTGCGGGGGCTGGGGATTTACCTCAGTAGCACAGCGCCTGTCTGGCAAGCGCAAGGTCATGAGTTCGATTCCTGGTACTGGAAAAAAAATATATGTAATCCTGCACACCTAACCCCAATACAACTTTCAGGGTAAAGGCAAACAAGCAAACTTGGGGCTGGAAGGGTTATCTAATAGGCTAGTTCTGTCTTCCTACAAGGTTTTTACTCAAAGGGTACTATGCCAGGCATGGTGGTGCATGCCTGTAACCCCAGCACTTGGGAGGCTGAGTCAGGAGAATCTCAAGTTCAAGGCCAGCTAGAACTACATGGTGAGACCCTGTTTCAAAAAAAGCTAAGTAGCCAGACCTGGTGGTGCACGCCTGTAATCTCAGCACTCAGGAGGCTGAGTCAGGAGGATCCTTACAAGTTCAAGACCAACCTGGGATACAAAGTGAGCTCAAGGCCAGACTGAATTACATGGTGAGACCCTGTCTCAAAACAAAACAAAACAAGACAAAAAAAAAAAAAAGCTAAGTAAATTGATTTTGAATCTGACAAAAGTGTGTAACATCTGGGTAATCTAAAACAAGAAAGGATAGACAAGACAGAAGATGGTGGTAGCTAAGCACAAGCAAGTAAAAAACTAACTGTGGAAACTGAGTAGTTCAAAAGCAAGTTATCTCCACCCTGAAGAAGGTTTTATGAACAATCACTCTTGCTAGATGCAATGGCACAGGACTGAAATACTATTTGGGAGGCTGAGGGAGGATCTCAAGTTCAAGTCCTGGGAATATAGTTCAGTGGTACAGGACCCGTGAGTTCATGCCCAGTACCACAAAAAAAAATTTTTTTAAGGGGCTATAGTTTAGTGGTAGAACACTTGGCTAATATGCATGGGCCTGAGTTCAACCCTCAGTACTGGAAAAACAAAACAAAACAAAACCTACAACCAAAAACTCCTTTCCACGGAGCCTGCTCACACTGAATGTCCAGGCCTTCGAGGTACCCACGTTGAGGTCACATGGCTTGCCTGGACGGCCACCCTGCCAACCCCACTGCCCAAATAACTTATGGAGGAAAAGCTGTAAAGTCCCCAAAATGAGACAGAGGAAGTGAATGTTTTCATAGCTCCTGGAGGTATTTATGTGGTCCTTTGAGACAGGGTCTTGCTATGCAGTTCAGGCTGGCCTTGAACTTACTTTGTAACCCACGCTGGCCTCAAACTCCCAAAGATCCTCCTGCCTCAGCCTCCCGAGTGCTGGGACTACAGGCGTGCGCCACCACACCCATCAGTGGATACCATTTTCAAATCAGGAATCAGACAGGCAGGTTTATAGAATTTGTCCTAAGGCACAAAGCAATTATGCAACTATTGGCATGGGGACTGGGCATAAGGATAAACACAAGGTGAGCAACAGACTCAACAAATGACCAGTCTGGCCACACGTGCGGGACTGGCCTCTGGCCAAGCCAACAAAGGGACAGCACCCACTGAACTGTAACTTCAAGCTTTTCACTTCCACTGCCAAATTGGTTTTATTCCCAACTGTCCTCAAGGAACACAAAACCTTATGGGTCAACTTTAAAAACGGTAAGCCTTCATTTATAAATGAGTAACACGCTTCCGCACCTGGTGTGCTACCCCCACGTAGGGCATCCTAAGGCTTAGCCAGATTGCTTTACAATGGAGGCTGAATCAGAGTTAGGATCCTCCTCCAATAAATTCTTTTCTTTTTTTGGTCTTTTTGAGATAGGGTCCACTATGCAGAGTTCAGGCTGGCCCAGAGCTTACTTTGTAGCCCAGGCTGGTCTCGAACTTGCAGTGATCCTCCTGCCTCCGCTTCTGGAGTACTGGAATTACAGGCATGTGCCACCACGCCCGGCCTCCTCCAATAAATTCTTAACAAAAGAATCACAAAAGTTATCCCTAAAGTCCCTTTCAGCTCCTATGACTATTTAACTTGCCTCCTGCTAAATTAGCTCAGCTTCTCCTACCTCATCTCTCAGTCAGTGTAAAGTCAAGTCATTTGGAAAATGGGGTGCACGGGAGAAATCTTGGCCAGAGCCCCAGAGGTCTCTAAGCAGTGAGCTGAGGTTCCCATGGAGCACCAATTCAGTTGTCCCAGAGTAGTTAACGTGCCAAAATCAAACTACAGGTTGAACCAAGTCCACTCAAGCTTCAATTAAGAGAAAATGGTTCAAATTTTGTAATAAGAACCACAGCTGAGCAGGGGGTGGTGACACATGCCTGTAACTTCAGTACTCAGGAGGCTGAGGCAGGAAGGATCACTGTGGGTTCGAGGTCAGCCTGGGCAACACAGCAAGGCCCTGTCTCCGAAGCGGGGAAAAACAGTTGTTGAGTCTGTTTCTAAGATTTTTCTCTGAGAACACCTGACGAGTGAAGAGAAAATGGTCAGAGCTACGGAGGTGCCACTCAGTTTATGAACAAGACGTTACGGCAGCACATCGACTCTAGAGGCTCAAAGGTTCCCGGTCTCAGGGCCAAAGCCTCAGGAACGACTTGACGTCTGCGGCTGCTAACGAGGGTCCCCGCAAGGTCCCAGGGACGCGCCCAGCCGAGCACCGCCTTCTCTCCTCTTCCTGTCCTGGGATCCGACCCAGCGCTTCGCGATGCCAGGCCCCCCTCCTGCTTAGGCTCCTGGCACAGCTCAGCCGACACTGGCGACGAAGCTACTCCTGAGACGGCCCGCGCACAGGCCTGCCGGGCTCAGGTTTCGGGCCGCGGGCGGCCGCGCTCCTCAGCAGAACCGCGGGGCCCGGCTGGCCGCCGCGCCTGGGAAACCGGGTCCTGGAAACGGGGGCGGCGTGCCAGACGCGACACCGGCCTCGCCGCTCTTCCCCGGCTGCCGCTGTCCGGCAGGCTTGGCAGAAGTCAGGGCTCGGGGCTCGGAGTGACACACACGCTTCTCCTCGTCCCTCCGGGGCCGCGGCGGGCAGGGCCGGTCCTCGGCACCTTCCCGGGGCCGCGCCCAGGACCCGCGCGAGGAGGCCGGCAGCGCGGCCGAGGGCCGTCGGGCCGTCCTCACAGAGGGAGGCGGCGAGGCAGCGGGGCGGGCCGGTCGGCCCGGGACCCTGCCCCGGCCCGGCTCGGTCTCGCTTGCGGACCATGTTTCACAGCACAGCGAGTTCCTCCGCGGACTCTCCCAGCCCAAGATGGCGGCGACAAACCGTGTTCCATCGCCTCCGCGGCCCGGATACCTCCGCGCTCAGGTCCCGCCCCCCCCGCCGGGCTCCTTTCTGCTCACGCAGACGCGCGCCCCCAATTGGAGGGGCGGGCCCATCTTGCTCCTCCCAGCTAATCGCGGACTAAGCCAGAATATTGGCAGACAGTTTAACCAATCAAGACAGGCATGGGGGAGGGGCGCCTCCCGCGCAAGGATCTATGGGCCTTGGAGTCCTGAGCTTGTGGTGGCCGAGCTGAGCCTCGGGTCGCTTCTTGGCCGGAAGGACTACAGTTCCCGGCAGGCCGCGCAGCGCCGTCGCCCCCTTGGGGGTCTGACCTGTTGCCCCTGTAGCCCGAGGCCGGGCAGTGGCGGCAGTTGAGTGCGTGCTCTAGACTGCGCGTAGTTTCGTCCCGCCTTTACGCAGCCTACCCCCCGCTGCCGCCCCTCGTGAGGACACCCGCCCGGCTCAGCCGGCTTCCAGCCCAGTGGCCTGGGGCGCGAAGCGTTCGGTTCCCCCTTCCCACTGCTTCCGGGCCAATGGAAGGAGCTTGGCAGGCGAAGGGCTCGGCCCAGCCCCGGCCTGACCGCGCGAGCCCCACGTTGGCCAGTGGGAGCCGCCGACCCCCTGCCCGGTCTCCCTTGAGGGCCCGGACCCCGTGGGACCTTGGGGGGCAAAGGTCCGCCCCAGCGTGGTCCCGCCGCAGGCCCCGGGGCTGCCGGGCGGAGAGTGCAGGATGTTAAGCGCCCCCCGTCCCGGGGTCCTTCCTGCTGGAGATGCCCCCCTGCGACCCCGGAGATGAGGGGCGCCGCCTGGGCCAGGCGTTCCTGGGCGGGAGGTCAGCGCGTTGGCCTTTAACACTTGGGGTCTGTTGGCGCCGAAAGCAGGTGTCGCGGTAGTCACCCGCCGGAGGGCGGGACGAGCCCCCAGGCCCGCGCCGACTCCGGTGACCCGT